CCAGCTCAGCTCGGGCACTGGTTCTAAAGTGGGGCATTTCCCTGAGGCCAGCTCGGCCAGCTTCCCCAGCATCTTTCAGCGGGCACCACGGGGGGTCTCGCCACCTCCCTGCCTGTCCCCGGAGGTGGGAGCAAGGGGAAGGCAGGTTCCTTCCCTTTTTTGGATTCCTGAAAACCTCTCTGGGAGGTGGGGGCGGGGGTCTCAATTCCACCCACCCCTCAAGCTTGGCTTAAGTGGGCAGTGTCCCCCGCCCCCAGTCCCAGGACATCTGTTTTCTCCCCGGCTTCTGCCAGGACCTAGGCTGTTGACATTCCCAAGCCAAGAATGAGGCACTACCTTTCTTTGTGGTTTCTCTTCAGGTGTCATCCCCTCCTTGGGGGCAGATGCCCTTGGTGGGAGGGGGCAGCTGGGGAGGGGGTGCCAGGCCTCACCCCGGAGACGGCCCTGGTTAGGGTGCAGGCACGCCCTCCTGCCTGAGCCTGAACCACCTCCCCCAGGGTCTGGCCTGCTGTCAGCTCAACAAATGGCAGGTCCCATCAGAGAACTTGATGAGTGGGGCCTGCCTGGCACCCAGCAGTTCCGGGACTCGGGGGTCACTGTATTTTCTCCCCGCACGTTCGTACCAGGCAGACGGACACGCCCCAGACCCCGAAGAATTGCCGGCCTGTGACCATGGTGCTCCCCCCTCACCTTCCTAAGCTGCCTGTTCCCTTAGGCCAGGGGGCTGCGGTCCCTCCACCGGGCTCTGTGAGGCTTCAGTAAGACCTCGTGTCAAATGGCCACACAAGCTGTCACGTACAGGCACTCAGAGAGCACCGGGGTCCCCGGGCGGAGGTCGGGGCTTGGGCATTCCAGCAGTGGGGAGCTGTCTACACCGCAGCCCTGGGCGGGGGCAGGCGACCGGCCAGGGGGCTGCTACCTTTGCTTCCTCTTGCCCCGCACTCTCCTTTTCCTCCACCTCCTTGCTCTCCTCTGGGCATCGTCAGCGAGATCTATAGACGGGCTTCCAGAAAAGCAATCGTGTCTTCACAAGCAGCAGTGGGGCTCAGAGCCCTAACTCCCCTAATTCATTAAATCGGCGACCCCCAGGCCTGGGCCTCCAAGGATCCAGGAAATTATTTTCCCTTTAGCTCTTGCCTTTTATGAAATTTAGAATATGGCCCCCCAAAGTTTACATGGGGGAGGGAGGGGAGAGGCGCCCACAGGGCGAACGGTAGTCCGCTACCCTGTGTGGAGCATTTCGTAGACGTCCACTCTCCTCGCGTTCCAACAAGCCCCTGCCAGGAACATGTGAACGCCCCCATTCTGCAGATGGAGGCGGCACGGCTCAGGGTCTGGGGTGTCTTACTTGGCCGAGACCAAGGAGGCGGCAGAGCCAGGATTCTGGGTGGCGGTGCCCGGCCCTCAGCCTCTCCAGGCCGGTGGGAAGAACGAGGGGCAGGAAGGGAAGGAGGATCTGTGGATCCCCGGTCACAGGCTGCCCCCGGCCATCGGTGGGATGGGTCTGAGGCTACTCTGGACACGAAGGTCAATGAGACCTCGTTCTCGTGGCGAAGGAGTCGGCATCGAACGGGCCCCCCTGGGAGGCTGGTGCGAGGGACAGTAAACGTGTGGAGAGAGGAGAGAGGGACTTGATGGGGGAGTATGCTTCCTGGAGGAGGAGGCACACACACCAGGCCTGGAGGGATACAGAGGGGTTGTAGTAGCCAGAAAGGTGGAACGAAGGCCGTCTGGGCCCCGGAGAGCTGGACGTGCCGTGATGGTGCCGGAGGACACGCGGTGTCCCCGGGGATATGAGCGCAGCGCCCCGTGAGCGGAAGAAGAGGCAGTGTGCCTAATACAGAAGGCTCCAGTAAGTGGGGCCGGTCAAGATGGTCAAGCCATAATCTGTGCCCTTGTGTATCCGTCGCTGGGTTGGTCAATCCATTTTCGAGGGGACAAAAGAGTCCCTTGTCACGGCACAGCCCGGAGGGGCTATGTGAGAAGCAGGTGGGTGAAATCAGGGAAGACTTCCTACCGGAGGGGACATTTCAGTTGGGTTGTGACATATACATAGAAGTTCGCCAGAGAAAGAGAGAAAGGGCAGGGGTCTTCAGGCAGGGGGCCAGCTGATGTAACTACCTGGAGGACACAGTGATGGGGAAGCGAGATATCACAGTGACCCCGCACACGGGCCCCTGCCCCGCCAGAAACGCCCAAGAGGAGGCAAGGTCTGGGCTGCTGGTCTGGAATCTGACCTGCCTTGAAGGTCCAGCCCTGCTCTTGTTAAACCAGCCGGGACACACCAGCTAGCCAACTCTGCCGCACCACCTCTTGTAGACCCTGCGCGGTCGTGGGACCCAGGAGGACAGGCACCCGGTCTACACGGTGGCGCGGGGGACTCCAGTTCAAGCCCGACCTGAGTTCCTGGGTGACTGAGCCAGGGACCCCGGGGCAGCTCAGCAATCGGCCGGTGCAAGGTCTGGCAGGACCTCCGTGGAGGAAGAACATCTCTCCTGGAAACTTTGCCGTCCAGCCGCCCTCATTTCCTCCCCCCGCTTTTCACCGCAGTTTCTAAAACACATTAATCACAGTCTCCGTTTGGAGATTTAATCTGAGTAGAGAAAACGCAATTGCTTTCCTGCACCTGTATTCCCTAAGAGCAGATTCTGGACTCCTTCGAGGGTCACGGGCAGAGGGGGGAGGGGT